TCGATCGACGACGATGGACATATTATTAGACGAATTGAAATTAAATTATCCAAACGTTAACACCATTCACTTGCGGTACAAGCTCAATAAAGTAATTTGTGAGCTAAAAAAGGAAAAAATAGTCCATGAAATCAAAAAAAAAAAAATAGACTTTGGTCAAAATGTTCATTGTTGGGCTCAAAATATTTGTTTAATTGATTTGAGTATGATTCAATGACTAAAAGTAATTGATCAACTTTTAAGTGAAATGTAGGTATTATATAGGAACATGAATAAATATTTTGTTTTTAAACGAATATCTACCTACTTTTACAATAATTTCTGTTTATTGAATAGAAACTAAAATCAACATACTTATACGATTAAAAATTATTATTTTATGGTTACAATTACAGTACATAAAAAGAAAAGTATTAACTTTTAAGTAATATAATACAAAATAATAGTTTATACTTCATAAGTAGATTACTTATCTAACATAATAAATAATGTATTATAGCAATAGGAAACCGGAGAGCTAGAGGTCATAGCATAGCCACAACTTGACCAATATTTTTGGGGGTGGACAAATTATAAAGAATTCCTAGATTACCAGACTCTTAACACTAGGTATAGTAATTAGTCTGTAGAGGTATATTTATATTTGATATATTATGCAGTAATATGAGTAAAACTGTAATAGATTTTTAAAAAAAAGTTGTCACAACTATTTTAGAATGATTTTCCTATTCAGTAGTTATGTTTATTTTAATTCCTGCAAAGTTCAAATTTTAGGATTACATGGTTCATCTCTCCTCTCTCGATTACCTACCCTAATCAATAATGTCATTACAATTAATTTCATTCAGTTGGACAGCTTGAAGCTAGAAGACCTAGGTCCAAGAATGTCAATTTCTTGAAAAGTTTTTTTTTGTTATAAAAAAAAAAAAATACTTTAGGTAGGTACTTAATACTTATAGGTCTTATTGTTTAATATTATTAATTATTATAGATTAGGTGCTGGTAGTAACATAAGTGTCATAAACATTGAAATATTTAACTTTCATAACAAAAAGCCATAACAATTTGTTTAACACAATTTAACAGTGTACTTGTTTTATAAGTTATAACTTATAACAAATTAAAAACAAGGAAACAATGTAAAAGCGCTTAAATTTATAGGTCAGCCTGCAATTTATAATACAATATATAATTCTTACTAAGCAAAAATTTACTTTTCACTTAAAATTAATCAAAATATAATAGGAAAAGTCTTTTATTTTTTGGGGATGCACATTTTAAGCCTTGTTGCTCCAATGATACATAAGGGAACTTAACAAGTAATAGGTATTTTTATAGGTCCTGATCTCCTACCAAGTTTAAGATAATCAAGAGTCTTGATTCATTAAGATTTAAAATTAATTTGTGAATTTAAATTTTAATAAAACACAAAATCTAAAAATACATTGTGATCTTTATAGATAAGTATTTTTCATTTCTGAAACAACAATAAATGTCAACCAAATTCCTTTTAATTTTCAATATTAAATTTTGTATAGATTATTATACAAAGTCAAAAGATAATAGTCAATAATAAATGGTTCCTATTTAATATTATAATCTTATAAATAAAACATAAATTCTAAATATTCTGTAAACTATACAAACATTGTAGTTTATACACTCATAAATTAAAATGCTTAAATGATTTTCCTACATATGGCTATTATATTTATTTTTAATGAGCCTATATACATTTTATAGTAATCTATTTACAGTTAAAGTAAACACTCAGAAATATAGGCAAAACTACAGGTTAGGCCAGTCAGGTCATTGCCTGACCTAATACTGACTGGATATTGGACAATATTCTGACTTCAAAAAATTTAAAATTTAAATACAAAACTTATTTTGTAATAAGAATTTTTTTTCATATTTACCATATGACCTGTCCTAGTAAAATGTTCTAGTTCGGCCTATGTACAGAAAAATATAATGCTATACTCTATATATATCACATAAATACGTCATAATACACAATCAAGGGTATATAATAATTGTATCAATACTATCAATCAATTAACAAGTCAGGAAATGGTACCTTAAGCAGTGTGTCGATTGACAATGGAAAAGATAATGATGACATTTTTTTTCTTGATATATTTGCGTTGTTGGCCACATCTGAACTAGAACGTCGGCGTGTAGTGCTTGGAGAACTGCTATGTGTTTGCCTTTTGATTTCTTGTTTACAATCTACTTTATTATAAATAAAATATTAAATTTACCATGAAACATTCAAAACAGTTGTGTTTCTTACAATTATTGGCTGTAGAATATTTTGTATTATCAAGAGCTGGTAGTTTTGTACAACTTGTTTTTTTCTTTTCCTGAAATTGCACGTGTTGCAACCTATTATACATACGAGCTTCATGAGTATCACTATTGTTTATAATTTTGAAACAGTTTTCACATACTTAAAAGCACTTGGTGGACGATTTGTTCGTCGGTGACAGAAGAAAACCCTTTCCCGAGGGGTGAATGGTCTGTTTGTTGTAAGTGGCTTTACATAAAGGGGTGAATTTAGAGCTGCTTTAGCTTCACTAATAATTTCTGAACTTATTTTTGGTAGCTTAGTTATGTGTTCTCTGTTATACATTATAGTACTCTATAAATATCAAACACATAAATAACTAATAAACTTCACAATTTTTATTCCACTGTTATAGTTAATACTTCTTTTAAGAACATCAAAGACACAAATTATGACACCTTGCCTATCAACTTATCAAAACTTGCTAGACCATATTATGTCTTGTTTGTTTTCATAAACTGTTACCAAGGAGCTTATGGAAATTTAGGGCATAGTAAACAAGAGTATTATTGATTTTTTTCTTCATTATAGAATGATGTATTTAATAAGAACAATATTTATAAAAATACACAAAACCAAAAAATGTATTAAACTAAAAGTTTATTCAATTAGTTTCAATATAACACTTGATTGAATTAGTTGAAATTATTTTAAAATAAAGTACAAATACATGGGACATAGCAATAATGTTATGAATTAGTAGGTAATACAACTATATTCCATTAATTGAATCTTCATCACAATCACCTGGAGGCCTAAGCTCGTCTTCTTTCAAATTAGATATCTTTTCAGGTGATTGTTTTTCTTGTTTCTGTAAAAAATATTTTAAAAAAAATTAATGATAAAATTGTAAAAATAACTTCATTTTAACAATATGTAAACAACCATAGGTAATAAAGCCAACTAATGTGTGTTATTTATATTTTATATCATTAAAAAAAAAAGTAAATCCTGAACCTACCAAATTCAGTAAACTATAGTTTAAATTGGTAAAACATAAGTTTCTCATATTCTTTGGTGGTAGAATTCATATTTTGAATATACTATTACTTAAATGAGATATAAATATTAAGATTAAATTTATGTAGAGCACATTTTTTTTTTCTATGTTTAACTTTAATGTAGTTTTATGTCGTTTTTTAACCAGAATTTGAAACTAAAATCATTTTAAAAATACCTGTTTATGAGAAAAAAATATTTCATTCAAATATATTAAGTACCCATAACATAAACAGTGGGGGAGTGGGGTAAAAAAATGGCCAAATTAAAAATAGAAAACCTATGGCTTATATACTCTTAATATTTTAATATTTATAGTTGGATCCATAGTATTCATAGTCTCTAATATATATATTATTAAAGTTTGGCAACAACTATATCAAAACAAATTATTTTAATTTACTTACAGACACTAAAACATGTTGATTATTTGTATTGCTTACAGGTTCACATTTCACTTTTAAATTTTGATACATTGGTACTTCCATTTTTTTTCCAAATATAACATCCATAATCGCTTGGCGAATGTGTGAACGCTTAAAAAATTAAAAATCATTTTAGTTTTAAAAATGTATTTTTAATTAATTGATTAACACTTACCTGTACTTCAGTAAAACTAAGTACATGATCTAATAATGATTTTCTCATTTCTGGACATTGAAATAAGACATCTTCCAGCTGTTCTGGTGGCAATTGTAGTAACACCTGAAAACTATTAGGTTTTGTCTTCTGACAACACTTTATGAATCCTTCCCATTGTTTCTTTTGGTGCCATACTTTTTTTAGTATAAGTCTCTGGAGTATATTCATTATAAAAGCAATCAAACGGGGAAAAGTTGTCAGGGATTGTATAACTGTACGCATCAATAAAGTTGGTAATGGATTTACATCCATTAAATTCTGCATGACAATTGCCAATATCTCTTGTGTGAATATGGTTTTTTCCGCAAAACACAATGATGTAGCTATCAAAATAAATGATAATATAATTATATTTAAATTAGTACAAAAAGTATAAGCCGTTCTAAATTTTTATTACCTTTAATAATGTATTTGAGGTCATTAGGGTCTGAATCCATTGTGTGTAATGCAATCAAAAGCTCAGCTGGACTGACAGGAGGATTTGAATTTGAATAGTTAATGGCCAGAATTCTATTGAAAACCTAGTTAAAAAAATATATTTAATTGTATTAATCAATAAATACATTTTTGTAACTAAATGTATTTGTAAACCATACCTCTTTTACAACATTGGGATTTAATTTTATTAGTTGAGGTAAAGCATTCAAAATATATTTCTTATCTAAACCAGATATTATTGGTACCAAGAAACGTACTTCAACTATCTGATTTTCATATAATTTTTTAACTCTTGATACTAACTCTGTTGATGGAATTTCTAAGAGAAACATAAAATATAGATTTAATAATTATAAAATCTTATATCTAAAAGTGTATCGATAATTTATTATTATAACAATCTTGGAAATTTATAAATTCTAATGGTTATTTTACAGCAAGTATTTAAGTATTACAGAAAACCAACATTTTAAACATATATTAAACTATTAAAGTATGTTTTATATTATGTATGTAACAAATTAATTGCTTTATTTTGGACATTTATAAATTTGTACATATATATTAAATAATTACATTTATGTATTTATAATTTATTAAAAAAACAATATTATATACAGCAATTAGAGAAGTAAATTGAGAAATAGAGCATATGACATTAAAATATTTAGGTAGCTTCAGGAATAGCGGTGACCGCGGTTATACCAGTTGGCAAAATTAAGAGAATAAAATCATAATAAAAATATTATTCAACAAGTTTGAGATTAGAACATATAAGAGTGTGAATTATTATATTATATTGATACTTTATAATGTAGTATATATGTATGTACATATTGGTAAAATTAATAAAAAGAATACTTTAAAACTTAGGTATCACTTAAGATTTAATAATTATATTTATATATGTAATCAAAATATTTTATTTTTCATAATATTAGTAAGACAGTAAGTATACGGTATACTTAATATAATAGTATGAAAGCTGAATCTATTTATGCATAACTATGCATAATATTTTAACCTAACCTAACCTGACTTAAATATTAATATCATAATGTACATTTATTTATTTCTATATTTATTAAATTTCTATACAAATGACAAAGATACGAAAAATAATACTACAGATTTACCGAATACATATGCAAAGTACTAAAAATAAATATACAATGATTTCTTAAAATTATGTTTTAACATAGCTAATTTTTAACAAATTATAAAATATGTTTTAGAAATTCATAAATAGATAATAGTGTGAATTACATTTGAAACAAACATGGTTTTATTACAATTACGTACCTACATTAATTGTATATTAATAAGACATTTTATTGTTTCATCCAAGATAGGAACACATCATCAATGATAATTTTGGCTTACAAATTACAATAGGTATATTATAAAATAATTAATATAATTATTTTATTCACTTGTTAAGTAGCCGCCTCACTTTGCTTTTGGACTTAGGTCCGTCGTCTTCATCAGATTCTGCATATCTTTCTGCATGTGATACAATATGTGTATTAACCAGGTAATCAGTACCAATGTGTTTTTTATACTCAAATAGGTTTGGAACACTCCTAACAAATGTAAGGCAATGTATAGGTACTAATCTACTATCAATATAAACATGTACAAAATCATTAGGTTTGAAAGTGTCATAATGCACCTTTTTTGATTCATCGGTGACTCCAATGTTTGCTTTAGGTGCCAACCACATGATTTTTGCTCGTTTTTCACATAATTCATTTTCATGTAACTTAATAATTTGTGCATAAAAGATTTTGTTTGATTTTGATCCACTCAAAGATACGATATCACCTATAGTCCAAAGTTGATTCATAAATCGAAACTGTTCAGTCTTGCGTAAAGTGTACGGACAGCGAAAAGTATACAATTCAGATGGAGAAGGAATTGGATTTGCTTGTGATAACCAGCCTTCAAGTTGTCTATGTGATACTAATATTCCAATAGGATTTGAAGGTGAATCTTCTTCGCTTGACGAATACATAATATCAACCAACACTCAATGGTGTGGTTTATATTATAATTAGAACATCAATTGTTAATAAATCAACCAATTTGATTAATAATTAATTTTAATTTTAATAAAACTAGTTAAACACTTAACACATAAAACATTAAAATATATATTATATAGTAGTAAAAAATAGATGGAATAAGAAAAAACGAAATAATGTTATGTAATATAATTATACATTAACAAATAGGTAATTGATAACAAAATAGTTTTGTAAGCGCTATCTAGTTTAAAATTGTTTTTATACAATAATTTAATTGTTCTAGAAAGTGGCCGTTCACCTTGATCAATGTATACAATATGAGGTACATCAAAGGTGTAAAAGGTGTCTAAATTTAAACTGAGACGTAATGTAGACATAGATAATAAAGAATGGATAGGCTATTGCTATATTAACCAAATAGAGGGAATGGGGAAGAGAGAAAGACACATTTTATCAATGCCTCTCATTCTAGCAAAGGTCTTATCATAAATTATATTTTGTGATTATCCACGGACTAAGTTATTATTATAGTATGGACTGGAAACGAAAGTCTAATCACCGGGCCGCTTAAGGCCTGGAGAAGGCTTGTGTGGGGTGAAATGGGGCAAGTGAGACACGAGCTCTATCTATGTTTATAATGTATGAGAACCATCTACTTTATGAATTTTCCCTCCAATGTATGAATATGATTGTAATTTATTATTTATATACGTGTTTATTATTCATCACATTTGGCTTGTTTTTATGACTTACTAGTTATTTCATATTAACATTCATTTTAATTTTTCTATACCGACTTTCAGAGTTGCATAATGGCACCAAAACGCAAAATACGTAAGTGTTCAATAAATGAATGTGAAAGTCGTAAAGATCATACAAATGTCAAATGTTACCCTATTCAAAGTATACGATAGTAACAAAGTAGCTTGGAAATCAGCAGTATATAATACAATAAACCAATTAAAACCATTAGAATACATTTATTCTAAACACTTTTCGCCCGATGACGTTATCACCAAGTATTCACAAACACCATCTGATGTAATTATGCCAAAGGTAAATTAAAATATATAATATAAGCACAAAGCTAATGGGTGATATAGTAGATACGTATACGCATCTTGTTTTCAATAAAATAAAGTGTAATAATTTAAGTATATGGTTTTAATTTTTATACGTGATTCAAATACCTAATAGAATGTCAGTACTTTATGTTTCATTTTCTTTTATAAGGGATATGAAACAAGAAAATCATTCAAATTGAGAAAAGGAGCTATTCCATTTGTATATGATCAAACAAATATCATTCAACCCATGACAAAATAGATTTATTTTGTCATGATTCAACCCTTACCAACAGCTGAGTCATTTAGATAAGAACTTTTTCCATCAAAAGTGATATTAAGATTTTAATTGTTTTATTTTATTTTATTTTTACTACCTATATAATATCGTCCATGATATTTTAAGGCTTCCGCAGTGATTTTAAAAAGAAATATTGATTCTATTTATCCTACTGTAACAGATAAACTGTATAAACAAATTTGTTTAGTGGATTTACAAGTAATAATTATTATAATAACAAGTAAATAAGACTTTAATAACCTTGATTGATTTACTTATTGTGAGGAATAGTATATTTAATGTATATTATATGTATTTTAATTTAAATTATTTATAGGCATTATTTTTCAATGTGCAACTTCTTTACTGACTTAACTTAGATATCTTAGTCCGTGTTATTATCATTGCAGGACGCATAGATAATAGATATTGGAAATTATAAATTATAATAACAACATAAATACAATAAATACATATCTTCTTATTATATAAACTGCAAATGTTGACGCGGCTCGTTGGCAAATAATAAATAAAGTGAAATAAGTAATATTATTATTATATCCTAATTCTGTTATCTATTTATGTTGAGACCGCTATAACCTCAAAATATTTTTTTATTCATTCCCATATCCCATATGATAAGCACAAATGGCCTATCCATTCTTATTATCTATGCCCTAAGGGTTTGAATGCATTTATAAAGGAAAGGTCCCTATAGAGTGCCTTGATAGAGCCTCTATCAAGGCACTCTAGGTCCCTACACACTGCAGCGGTAGCGGTGGCGGTGGCGGTAAAGTGAGTCCGGACATAATTTACTGGCACCGCCAAGACTAAAGAATTTTACCGCTACCGCTGCAGCGTGGGGACCTTAAAACATAAAACTAACCTAAAATTTAAGTCTTAATTCTAAAAAAAATTATTTAAAATTATTTTTAACTTTAATTCTATCAAAACTCGAAACAAATTTCGAGGAAAAATTCAGTGTTAGATCAGTGGCTTGGGTCATAAAATATAATATACTCTTATGTAAAAAACCAAAAAAAATGTTGAATAAGCATTGTTTTTTAGTTTTTGAAAAAATTTAAAATTCGAAATGGTTGTAAAATACTAACAAGACATACACTTCCATAGCACTTTGCTAGATTTTGTGTAAAACCATAAAAATAAACAAATGGTATAAGTCCCAATCCTTGGTTATAATCTTTACTATTATTAAATATTAATTATTATTTATTAAAGTTCATTAGTTTATGGTTGCGTATTTGTATCAGAATGTAAATGTTCATTGTTCACTATTTTTGAGACTAGAATTAAAACCGAGTTACCATTAAACCATTACATGATGTGTTTCTTATATAGGTACATATACTTGGTAGGTAGGTAACATTTCACCTACAACTTACAAATTAAACTATATTTAACTCTACATGACATGGTAAAGTGGAAACACAGCTTTAAACTATCATAAAAATAAGTCTCCTCCCCAATAATCTTACTAAATTTCTAGCCTATGGCCAAAGTGTGACAATTAATTTGAAAATGTTGGACACAATAAAATAGTTTTCTTTAAAGTTAAAAGCTTATAAAAAATGTTCACTAAGTTATAGTGAATAAAGTGAAGTATTGTTTATATAAGAATATTTTATAAAATATATAACAATACAAACTATGTGTATTAAAAGTATTAAGTTCGTTATTTAAATTTAAATTTAAGTTTATTTTTTGTTTAATCACTTTGTTATACATTTATAACATATTCTTAGATACATCAATGGAAGAATCAATTATCAAATAGTCAGCAGATCAAATAATCTAGCCATTTAGTTTTTAAGATTATTAATTTTTTATTAAAAATAAAAAAATGATTATCTAAACACATTTTATTACATATTATTTTGTAGTGTTCCTTTAAAAATAAAAATATCCACTCACCTTTTTCAGTAATAGTATGCAAAACTCTGGTAATCATTGCTTCAGACCCTTTTGGTATATCTTCGAGAAGTCTAAACATTTCAACTGAATTCATTGGCATATTTTGAATGGGTTGTGGTAAAAGTTTTATAATTGAACGTTTTACTTCTCCTTGAGAGTTAGAAAATACAGCTGCTAATCTAATGCATTATATATAAATATATTATACAAATATACATACATGCATAAACCAAATATTGAATTAAGTATAAAAATCATACTCATGAATTAGTTCATAATTATCTGCCATTAACATGAAATATAGGTATAAGCAAGCTGTAGTTGAGTCTTCATCCCACACATCAGATTTGACCAATCGACCTGTCTCATGACCAAAAAGTACATCAGGGGGTATTTGTAATCTTAAGAATCCCAAGTAAAAAGTAGCATATTCTTCAATAATATTTTTCAAATCTTTATTTTTATACAATTTACTGATGAAATTCAATGCAATCTCTCGAAGCTAAAAATATTTAACACAATTCAATTGGTTAACAAAGATATTAAGCTTTTTTTATAAGTATATACATATTTTAATACAAATAAATTTTTTTCAATAATTATAAGTAAAATAAATGATAAATTATTATACTGTGTGAACTATACAGTTTAATATTGTTTTTGAAAATCTGAAATTTGACATTTTTGCCTCCTAATAAAGTTGAAATTTGCTTACTTGTGGTTGCCGAGCCATTTTGCGAATGACCAAGTTAACTGTACTTATTTTCACTGATAATATTTAATGGTTTACATAGACAAAAATCATAACATTTTTATAGATGTAAATCATAAATGAACTATAGTATTTAATTAACCGTAAGAAAAGATTTTAATAGTATAGAGCAATTTAAAATAAGCAAAGAAATATAAGTACTTGTTTTTTATCTCCCCACTGCCATACTAAATAAAATGAATTACCTTGGTATCTAGTGACCCTTCATCGAACTTATAATAGTATTTTTTATATACCATTACAAAACTTTCAAATAAAAGTAAATAATGATAACAAAATGTTTACAATTCAGCAGTATAGTAAATAACTAATACTTCAAAATTATACATAAATAAATACAAAAATATAAGGCAATTTCCCAAAAACCTTTAAATGTCATACATTTTATTTGTTCTAACGGTATGTTTTTGTTGTAAAAATGGATTGCCAGCATTAAAATATGTTGCGGAAAATAACTCATTAAAATAATTTTTAACAATATTTTATAATTATTAACACTTTTAAAACGTATATAGGACAAATTAAAATCGATGCAAAAGTCAAAAACTTCAAAGAACTCAAAGAAAAGGCGAGGAATCGGTTAGAATGGAGAATTGGAGTTGTAAACCAACCTTTGGGTTGATAAAAAAAAAAAAAAAAAACACTTAAAATAATAAGTTAAAAATGTAAATATTGAAATTTTAGAGACTGTGTTAGTGGCGGGATGCTACATTTTATACAGCTAGGTGCCTGGTTAGTATATGTATATTGATGTCTCATTATAATATATTTTTATCAACATTTAATTATTAAATACAATATTAAAATATTAAGCGTGTTTTAATACATTACTTTATCATTCTTATGTGAAGTGAAGAAAAGAAGTGCATTTAAATACACTAATTGTCTTGGAGGACGTTTAGTAACCAATTCATTGAGAATGAATAGACCGAATGCATGATCACCACAAATTTCTTTCAAAATATCTACAGCATCATCAGTAATAAATGGACTTTCAAAATAAAAAGTGGTTATAGCACTATAAATTTTAAACAAGAATTAAAATCAAAAGTATATATCAAAATTATATTTTAATTAAAAATCCAATTTACTCTTCTTTTTCTTTGGGATCTCCAATAACCAATGCACCTCTGATTAATGCACATAAAACAGTATTGTAATTTTGTTCCGAAGTTAAAGTATTTCTGAATGCTGTTGGCACTTTAATAAATCCTTGAATTACACTATACTCCTCATACAACCACGATAAGCATAAATTCATATTTTTAGGGATATCCAAATTTATATAGTCGAGTATAACTAAACAAAGAATGAATAAACATTAGACTAGGTTTGTAATTATTTGTTCGACAAAATTCATTAATAAGTATACTTACTGTTGCGATAATCATCACTACACATAACTGCCACTTTAGTTATAGCTTTAATGTGAACTTCTTTAAACTGTTTTGACAAAACAATTTCACTAGTATCTAAAACTCTAAGTAAAGCATCAGTAGATAGATCTTCAGCTTCAGTAGGATCAATATGACAGTTATTCATATTTAATTCTGCTGGTTGAGCTAAAAGTATATCTTCTTCCTCCATTTTTACAATTTCTTCTTTTACTCCTTCTAATGATTCATCATCATTTTGGGTTATGTACTTCAGATCAGGAATAAAAATATCTGATCCACATATTTGAGTAGCTAATAATTTTGCAACATGTTTAATGTGGCTATCAGTACCAGCTGCAGCTATAGGAGTATAATTTGTTATAAAAGCTGAAGGCATTTTTGATGGTAATTTTGGCTGTAAATTAAAATATAAATAACTCGTATATTAAAATAAAAAAAATCATAAGTCAATTTTTTATTAGGACCACCCATGTTTATCTTTATATTATGCAGTTAATCAAATTCTAATGTTTTGAAAATTGTTGATGTACATAAATACAATATTTTCAAATCCTAATATTCCTATGGCATGTTAAGATTGTCTTGTGGTGATACTAATGTTGTCTTCATTATTTATTTATAAAATATTTGAATATTCAATAAGTTATTATTCTAAAGGAACAACAATTCAGGCAATTTTTATGGCAAATTGATTTATAGACGTGTTATATTGGAATTAAATGATGAACCACTGCATAAAAAAAAACGATTCTGAGAGGATATAGTATGTCAAGTCTCTATTTCTAAGGATGTTTTCTAATTTATGTATATGACTTTTGGTAATTTAATATTTTCTTTTAGTAATAAGGTAAATTGCATTAATTTTTGATAAATACATCTAAAAAACTCCTCAAAATATTATTTTAATAATCCTTAAACTAGTAAAATATGCTTTTTTTACTTCCAACAGTTTAAAAATGTGAACACAAATTACAAGAAGAAAGTAGAAACATAATTATGTGTAATACTACATTATGTTAAGAGGGCGCTATACCCCCATGTATTGTCTCTGTCTTATAAATGTACTACATAGCAAAAATAGTTGTGCACTCAAGGTAGTGGAGAAAACACAGAAATACCCAGGATTTTTTAAGCGAACCTGATTTTTGATAAAATTTCGATTTCGGTGCAACTCTTAAACAAATGACCGTAGACACTAAATGTTGATACTAGCATTTTTCTAAACCATAACATTTTATGTAACACCAAATTTTTAAAAATATTTTTACTCATCTTGGGCTGTTAACTGACATTTTCAGTTTTTTTTTTTTTGCAAATGTCAATTCGTTGGGTTAAAAAGCTTGAAAAATGAGTGTAAGGTACCTAATGTGATATTACAACAGTAATCAAAAAATATTAAAAATACATAGGCACAATTTTTTTTATAGGCATTAAAGTAACCAAGAATAGTAATATTTAAGTTAATTTGTTGTAATTAAAAAATATTATATTGGGTACTTGAATCTTCTAAAGTATATTATTAAATACAAATATGATAATATTAATTCAACCTACCACCCAGTGGCTATAGTAGTAATAGTAATATAAATAAAATGTAAAATATCCTTGTCTAACAAACAGTCCCCAGTCGGTATCGTTTTTTATATACAATGATATTTTATTATTGAATTCAAACTTAACACCATCTATTGCAGTGACCCACTTGTAACCTACTGTACAGCAAAGTTATATCCACTTAACCACTTTTTAATTTTCAATTTTGAAATATGTTTTTTCTATGGCGAAAAAGTAAATTACAACTCGAAAAATAAAAAATAATAAATTTTCTTTTGAACGATAATACAATATACTCTGAATATAAAATATAGGCTGAAGTATTCTCTAATCTTTAAAACAGGCACTACTATGCAAAATACATATTTTAATGAATTCTGTAATAGAAAAGCAATCCACATTTTTCATCTCTGTTGAGTTGAAAAACTAAAAATCCACTCTCTATAATTCACCATCATTTGTTATAAAATTATATCATATATTATTGTTATTAACTAAGTCAATACTGAAATATAGTATTAAAGTGTGTAAAAGGCTTAAATGTGTCTAAATATTTTTTTAATTTAATTGTGCGTAGAAAATAATATTATACAAATGGCAAAAAGTTTCAAGTATTCAAAATTAATATTTCTTGAATTACAACATAACTATGATTGTTTAAGAAAAGTTGCAACTAGATCTAATTGGCTACCAGAAACCAGAAGTTTAAGATAGAATTATTTTTTCTGATTTAAAATTAGATAATTTATCATTGATAACAAACAAAATAAAACCCCCATAAAATTAACATTTATTTCTCCGCTCAGAATCTGAAATGTAGTGAGCATAGATCTGAACTTAAGAAATGAGTTATTAGTATGAATATATGATCTTAATACAATTATATATATTTACCATGAATGTCATAATAAGGTTTGTGATGGATTCTGGAGATAATTTTTCAAGTACCCAAGCTTTAATTGTATTAATATGTTGATCTGGTGGTGTACCTTCAGTACATCTCTTTTTTTCAGGAATGTCATCTTTATCTGGTTTTTTATCTTCTTTGTCATCATTTTTACGTTTTAAGGACCTTAATAACTTTTTACTATCTTCATTTTTTGACAAAACCTGAAGTGCTTTCATAATCTTGAAATAAAACAGAATAATATAATATACAACTTTAAATAAATATATCATAAACATATTTGTATAACTACTTCTTGATTGGAAGCACCAATGTCTAATAATAGTCTTCCGATAGTTTGTTGATGTTCAGTTGAAGCAGGGAGACGCAATAAACTTAATAATTGTAATTTTAGATTTTTCTGAACAGAGGTTGATTGACTCAGAGTTAAAGAATTTGGTATATTTTCTAAAAAAAAATAATTTTAATTTGTCTAATAATGATTTTTAAATGATATTTCTTACTGGTTAATGTTTCTAATGTAGTTACAACTTTTTCAATAAATGACACACGGAATTTGGCAATTAATGTTAATGATCCCATGCAAGTCATTAAATTTGCACAACCTACATTACCAGAATGACAAAATCTTGATAGAAGATCAAACAATACCCTAATATTCAAAATCATAGTCAATATAATATAATATTATTTTATGTAGTAATATATAATTGTATAATAAATACTTTGCTTCATCTTCAAGTCTTCTACGGCGGGTAACTTTAAGAGTTAAAGGTATATCTTCAAGAGACATATCATTCTCACGATCAACACCACCTTCACCTTTGTATGTTTGTACAAGTATTACCGTTTCCATAAATTTAATTACTTGAGTACGAATACTAAAAAAAAATATTTAAATTGGGTTATTCCTATTAGTTGAGGAAAAAAATAACAAGAATTCTTAAATACCCTTCATTATCATTGTCAATCATATTAATTACATGCGATTTCAAATTTGATAAATCTTGCCATACATTTGAAAGATCAGAACTAGGTAAATCGATCATTGATATCCATTGTAATCCGGCTCTGTATACATTGCTAGCTGCTTGCACCACTCTTTTTTGAACAACAAGTGATCGATCTTTCAGTAACATTAATAAATTTGGCAATGTGACACATACATTTGACTTTTCTTTATTACTGAAAAAAAAATTACTCATTAAATACCTTTAACAGTAGAAGCTATCAAATCAAATTACCAGCATTCTTCTATAAACGCTACAACAAATTTTCTTATTGTTGAACTATGATCATTTTGATACGCAATTACATCATTAATAAATTGTGTTAAAATTTTTGGTTCTTGATACAACAATACTTCTTTAACCTTAAGTAGTAAATCAAGTTTAGTGTGTTCATCAGGAGCCACAGCAGCTTCATTTAAAATACTGGTCACCTAAACAGAATAAAATATGGACAATGATGAATACTATTTCCTTTAGAATTAGAATAGTATTCCTTAGTTAACCTGCTCAGTTGGGCTTTGACTAACTTCTACACGCATTTTTTTTTCTTATTAATTTTCAGTATCTAGTTTCAGGAGACTTCAAGCATTGGAAATTGAAAAAAGGCATGAATATTAAATACTAAATAGTAAATTGTTATTACTAATTCATACAAAACTAGAATTATGAATTATGATTAACTATCTTAATTCTTAATTCGTGATACATAATAAAAATGATGATTAAAGAATAAGAAATAAATAATAATTGTTATTTACAAAGTGCGTTGATGGCTTATTGGTTTAATGGTTTGATACCTCAGCCGCTTAGCCAATGGTTTTCGTTATCTATTATCAGTGTTATAACCCACGGTTAATAGATATATCTATTAACCGTGGTTATAACCACCATTAAAGATATTTAGGTATATCTCTATTCGTGGTCGTGGTTTTAACTTATATCAATGATAAAGTGAGCGTAGTCACGTGACTATATTTTTTTAATAATAAACGTCATTTTTTTTGTTTTTGTGGTAAGAGTTATTTATCACTTAACTTTATTTTTATCAATCAATCAATCACAACTCACAAGTGATGAAAGGATAACAATAATTCAAAAAAAAAAAAACATATTTATATAAAGAAAATACATAGTAAAATAATACATTAACGAATTGAAATTGTATTCATCCATTCTTCTCAACAATTACACAGTTTGTTTGGGCGATGTACGGTGCCGAACACATCCTATGCCATCCGAGGCACATTCACAAATCAAATGGCTATTAAAGAGACTCATGGACACAAACAAAAGTTTGTGGAAGAAATTGATTACGATGAAATTGAGAAGCTTGAAGTACATAATTTATATATATATATATATATATATATATAATTCAATATTTGTATAATAGGGTGTTGTGTCCAAAGTATATTGACTGTGTTATTTTATGCCATGTAGATTGTTGGCAAAGGATCGTTTGGAGTTGTTTATCGTGGACGATGGCGTAACAACTATGTAGCTGTCAAACACATTGACACCGAAGCAGAGCGTAAAGCATTTACAGTCGAAGTTCGACAGTTGTCTCGAGTCAACCATCCTAATATTGTCAAACTATATGGTGCATGTACATCAAATCCTGTATGTTTAGTAATGGAATTTGCGGAAGGAGGATCATTATACAATGGTTAGATTGTTGTATTTATTGATAAAACTTAAATTTTAAAAAGTTGTACAATTATAAATTTATTGCTCTAATTTTTACCTAAAGTACTGATTTTATTTTCAATCTTAGTATTTTAAATATTAATATGTAATGGAAAACAAAAAATACATTTAATCTTACTTGTCTTACTAATATATTACTTTATTGATTATTAATATCATCAAAATATTTCTAAATTGTCTTTTATGTTAAATGTTTATAGTATTACATTGTAAACCTGAACCTCAATACAACTTGGGACATGCTGTTAGTTGGACATTACAGTGTGCAGAAGGTGTAGCATATCTTCACAGTATGAAACCTAAACCATTAATTCACCGGTATCCAATTATATTTGTGATTTATAAACTTTAAGCATTTAAAGTTAAATAGAAGAAATAAAATATGATTCCTATTTTTTAGTGATTTAAAACCACCAAATTTACTATTAGTGAATGAAGGAAAAACATTAAAAATATGTGATTTTGGGACTGCTTGTGACAAAAAAACATATATGACCAATAATAAAGGTAGTGCAGCTTGGATGGCACCTGAAGTATTCGAAGGTTAGAAATTAATAAATTGTACATCATAAGTTTTTAACCAATAATATTACATTTTATTAAGGTTCAAATTATACTGAAAAATGTGATATATATAGCTGGGGTATTATTTTATGGCAAGTTTTAACAAGACTGAAACCATTTAATGAAATCGGAGGATCTGCTTATGGAATTATGTGGGCTGTACATAAAGGAACCAGACCTCCAATATTTGAACAATGCCCTCGACCGTTTCAGGAATTGATTACTGAGTATGTAATAATTATAAAAAAAATTTTTTTTGAATATGATCCTATATGCTACCTAGTAAAATAGTTATCAGAATATTATACTACCTACCTAAATTACATATCCTCATACTGTACTCTATTAAACATAAAAAATGACCCAGGCTACAACCGGTTTTTGTTGGTAATGCACAGATCACACAAAACTTTGTCCTCTTCTTAATCAACTTCCAGTAGCCAATCATTAAATTATGGAATAATAAGCAACATTTTTTGTATGATCAATGAGTTTTAATTATAATATAAAAGTAGTTCTTTGATTATTTATTGTATGATTATACATACTGTATGTCTTTTAATAGACAACATACTCTTTTTTTTTTGGTTTCAAGTTAAACACTTTTTTTTTCACGATTCACTATTTTTTTTATATATGATTGTGTCTTTAATACTAAAAGTTCAATAATATAATAAACATATGAAAGTAAATTCAACTAAGATCAACAAGTATTTTCTTGTAGCATCCAATAAAAATCATTAGTTTTAAGTACATAAAACTAAATGGTAGATAGATAGCCTATTGGATCATATTTTTTCCAAATACATTTCAACAGTTTACTATCTTGTATATTGTTTTTAAAGGTGCTGGGATCAAAATCCAAATGTTAGGCCATCAATAGATCATGTCGTTCAGGTTATGAGGATTTTAATACAATTTTGTTCTGGACATGACCAACCATTAATGTATCCCAATTATTGTTATTCCATTAGTATGTATAAAATTATTGTATCTTTTTGTTTATACTTTATAATATATTATTGTATTTCTAGGTAATGAATTTGAAGAAGACTGTACTTCTGAAGATTCTTGCCCAGACATTTCCGACTCCTATATTGAAAGCTTAAGTATGTTCATTTGCACTATGCGTAATTTAATTGTACCCTGGACTAAAAGTAGGGAGACAAATAGTCCTATTTCAGAAATGCCAGACAAAAAGTCCAAAAATGCAAATTATTTATTTCATTAAATTAAAATTTTTTTTATAAAATTATGAAATAAATAAATATTGGTTTTGGCAATAATATTACCTAATTACGCCTATGAAATCAAATATACTTATTATTATAACTTTTTTAAATTAAAATTTTGTAAATTTTAGATTTTTTTCCTAATTTCTTTTAGATCATAGTCTTGGCTTTTGTTTTTTTTCCTGTACGGTTTCCCATTTAATTATTATTTATTTATTTTAATTTATTTAAGCTTTGACAACTGAGGCCATAGCCTAACCTAGCTGTAGGTTGTAGTACTGTAGGGTTTTTGGAACTGTAGGGTTACGGAACACGTGTGTGTTTGTTTGGCAGAATTTCTAGTGGGCACCCGTAGGTTTCTGCCATGCCCGGTTGGGGGATGGCGGCCTGTCTCTCCAGACACCGTGAGTGCCCGGAGAGAAGTGCCGCCCGTGACCGAGATTTGAACCGGCGACGGTGCTCTTGCAACCGACGCATTATCCACTCGGCCCTCCCCCCCCCATTTAATTATCTTTTGATTCATTACCCACTTTATATCTTGGAAAATATTGGATTTTTAGTTTTTCCTGAGGGTTTTTTTTCACCAAAATTTTTTGGTTTTGTTAATATATGACTATTTTAGAGGTATATAATTTTTTATACATAGTTTTTTAATTTAGCTTAATACAATAAGATTGAAAATCAATTTTTTTGTCATGAACCCTGATGTTTTTAGACATAATCTAATACAATTATTTTGATTGGTTAATAGTTTCTCCATTTTTTCCTTTTGGCATCTTAATTTTTTTCTTTGGGTTCTCAGGTGGCCAATTCAAAACTGTTATTAGCATTTTATGTTAAGTTTTTGTCTCATTATAAAATTTAATGTTATAAACTTATAACTATGACTAAAAACTTCATGCATTTGAATGCTTCTTAGGAAGTTTCAAATAAAAATATGATTTGACACAAATTTGTTTCATATTACATACAACTAAAATTCAAAAATGTATATTGCATCTTTAAAATACTATATATATTAAAACAGCCCAATACACAAAAAATAAGTTTATTTGAAAGAATGTTTAATTCTAAGAAAAATGGTATGATAATAATAACGTTTAACGTTTCTAATCACATTATTCAATGAGTGATCATGGGGTTATAATGTTATATTACAAATCAACTATCTTAATTTTTATTTAAATACTATAGTTGAATGTTTATTTAATAAAGAGAAGTAATTAACATTTATTTATTTGGTAGGAAGTCATAAAGGAATCAATGGAATGTTGACAAATGATAGTTTAAAATCTAATCCCAATTTATCAATACCATTAAATGTTAATGTAGAGAACAAGGTAAGTTTATTTTTTATATCTCAAAATGTATTGTATTATACATTTACACATTATAAATAATTTGTTATAATAATTTCATTAGTTTGATCAATATGAAGACTTAAAAATATTAACTATGCCTGGATTTGACAAAGTGGGAGCTTATCAGACTGTTGACTCAACTGACCGCGAAGATGAATCAGATTCACAGTGTCAAAGTCAACTAGATGGTAAGTTTCTCTAATATTATTACTTTCAAGTTTTTTTTTTAATTTAGACTCGACAGCAAATTTTTTAAATACATAATGTACTTAAAATAGCATTTTTACTTAATTTAAAATTACATTTTTATTTAATTTTTTTTAAATGTTCATGGCTTATCATTTAGAGGATGTTTAGAAAGATAACCAACTGTTGTGTGTTGTTCAGGTTGAGTTTTTCTGACAAAATAATTTAAATTCCAGCTTCTTGTCTCTCATTCTCATATATATAACATATACGACATTCGATTATTGTTTGTTTCGCTGTAAAAGGGGGGGGGGACTGCATTTGGCACTGTAGTTTTTAGGTTTTAATACTAGTTTGAACTTAAATTAAATATCATATACTTCAATTTAACTCTTGTGTTTATTACAAATATTTGCTTAAAAATAGCTGAAAATATTACAGATATTAATTAATTAGAGGTTTTAAGTTATTTTATTTTATTAATCAAGTTTTATTTCTATAATTATTAAATTACTTCATTGGTATACTTTAACTTATTCTATATTTGAGTAATATTACATGGTACACATATTGCTGTTGTTACACCACATACACCATATCATTTAATATTTTTCTTCAAAGTTAACATAAGTTGTGAATTAATAATTCTAAATAATTTATATTTCATATTATTATGTTATTTAAAAAAATGTTTCTAGTATTTTATTTTAAGAGGAAAAAATTTTAATTCATAAATATTTACAAATTATTTTCAATATTAAATGTTGTATATTAAACATTTAACTTTACTATTAAAACTTTTTTGATAATAATTTTTAATCATAGTTAAATTTCCTAGTGTGTTTATTTATTATTATAAAAAAATGACCAATCTTAATTTTGGTGACCTTATTTCCAGGGGAGCAATTTCAATGAAAAAAGTGGGGGTGCTGAAGGCCCATTTTTTTCATATTATCTCTAGTTATGGATGCCTGGCATAATTACTATTAAAATGAAAATAAATATGAAAAATATCGGGGGTGCCAAACACCCCCAAGCACCCCCCAAATTGTGCCTATGTTATTTCCTTCATAAAAGATTTTCCAGTATCTTTTTTAAAAACATTGAAAATAATATCTTTAATCCTAACTTAACCTATAAACAACTTTAACCGAAACATTTTTCTCATCACTTAGAGTAGGGGTCGGGAACCTTTTCGTAGGAAAGAGCCATTCTTTCAAAAAAATACAAAACTATGATATCCAGGGAGCCGCACAGACAAGTTTGAACAACCTTTTTTTTTTTTTAGTAGGCAATAAAAACATAATAATACGTCAATATATAATATAATTTATATTTTACGGATATATCTATATTGATAATTATCCAAAGAGCCGCAGATTGCATGTTAAAGAGCCGCATGCGGCTCCGGAGCCTCAGGTTCCCGACCCCTGACTTAGAGGTTAAGATAATAAGATATTATATTAAGTCCAATATGATTGGTGTTTATCGTAGAAAAAGAAGAGGCTAATAAAATTAACCTAAACAATACAGTTGATAAATTTGAAGAATCAATGATATCCACTTACCTATATGCAGTGTTGGGTAGTAACGTAACGTGCGTTACTCGTTACTGTAACATAGTTGCATTTTTCAGTAACATTATGGTAACTTAGTTATTATTATTTTTGGGTAACGCAAGAGTAACTACGTTAATTATTTAGAAGTAACTTAGCAAAAGAACGCATTACATTATAAATTAAATTTTTTTCGGGGCTGGGATACTATCGTAGTGCTATTTCACGGGACAGTCCTTCCCCTCGTATCCGCATCAGAAAATGTAATTATATTAATAATTTAAGTAGGTATTTATGTAATTACAAAATGTTCACAGTATAATCTAATATAATTTTATAAATATACGATTTTGTGTTAATATTATTTTCAATTTAACTGATTTTAACCTAGTTTCTGATCAACCCTATGGTAAAGTGGAGCGCTATTATAATACAGTTTATACAGGCGATTTAAAAATTTTAAATGGTTTACCTATGATGAAACAAATGTTTGTAAAGTTTAATACGTCACTCCCTTCTTCAGCTTTTGTTGAAAGGCTCTTTAGTGTAGCTGGAGACATTTGTACGAAAAAACGAGCTAGAATAACTGATCAAAATGTTGAAAATACATTATTGTATGAAATAAATATAAAAAAAGATTGATTTAAAAAAGACTTTTTTTTTATGAAACTTAAATAACACAAGAGTAACGTCATTGTAACTAGTTACTTTTGAGTAAAAAATGTAACGTGATGCATTACTTTTGTACTCGAGTAACTATCAAGTAATCTAGTTACCTATTTTATTTTGTAACTTGAAACGTAACTTAGTTACTTTTAAAAAGTAACTTACCCAACACTGCCTATATGCAATTGACTCTTGGTAACCCCAAGTTCATGAGAGGAAGGGGGAGAAATTTAACTTACTAAAAATTTCAAGTTATCAAAATCTAAAAAAAGTTGACATAAAAGAAATAAAAAAATATACATACCTACTAACATACTATACATATTACATATTATTTTTAAAGAGTTGGTTTAAGGTTAATTGCTTATGTTAATTTAAAACATTGTTCTCGATTATATTTTCTAAATAACCCGGTGGTTTAAATAAATCTTCCGTACCTTTATTTCTTTTGATATATTAATGTAATTTTTCTAAAGCAAGTGTTGTTTCCTTACTTGTAATAGTGCAGGTTCTATTCCATTTGACTTCTTCGTTATCACTATCCAATATATCGGAAACAATTTTGTATTAAAACTATTCTCTACAAATAGCAAAATTGTCATCAATATTTACTTATTATTTAAAAGTTTAAGTAAAAATTGTACTTGAATAGCATTAAATGTCAAAGTTAAATTGTGTGCTGTACAATAATCAATAAAAAGTATGATTTTTCTTTTCTCAGCTACCATTTTTTATATCTAATTTTATTAACCACAGTTTATAAATTGCAGAAGTCATCCAGGGTTTTAATTTGCATAATAATCTAATGGTAATGATTTTACTTGTTAAACATTTTTTGGTTTTTTTGACTTATCAATCAGAAGTGGTTTTAATTTTTCTGTGCCCGACATATTTAATCCTAAAAAAAGTTTTACACTTTCTTTGCTATATTTTCCACCTGTACAAGATTGGCCTTTAAATATGAATGTTTTTTCAGGTAAATATTTTAAAAATATTCTTGTTTCATCTTTATTAAAAATATCATCCAGTGAATAATTTTTGATGAGCTTTGGTAAATTATTAATCTATACAGAACACGTTTGTACATCTACTGCGTCACTTTCACCACAAACTTGTCTAAATACAATGTTATTTCTGATTTTCCAATTTGTTATCCATCTACTGCTGGCCTTAAAATGTCGGTGTCCAAATTCTTCAGCTTTTGTTCGTAGAATGGGTCCATTTATTGGATTTTTTTTGTCAAGACATTGCTGTAACCATAATTATAAACAGAATTCTATATCGGAGTATTTTCCTAGTTTCAATTTTCTACACATATTCTCTAGAATCACTTCTTTAATAGTCATATATATTATATATATTATATCAAGATCAGCTAGAATAATATAAGTACTAAATATATATTATTGTTTTATGATAATAAATGTTTTTGTTGTTATATCTCCATAGTTTGTTATTAAATTAAATTGAACTTGTTAAATTCAGATAGTAAGTGAACAAATATAGAAGTATAAATTAAGTGGCCTGTATTTTGTGCTTTTGTGACATTGTGAGCTAGGGTAACCATAGAGTAAATTTCCAGTCTTATTTAGCTGGCCATATTTTATAACAAGAACAATATTATAGGGACTTTATAATTTTATTATTAAAGCACTTATACCACACATTTGCTTAACAAAATATGATACAAATATGTACAAATATAAATACATTTTAAGTATTTACTCATAATTAGACACAAATAGTAACAATGGTGATATTTACATACTGACATTATATTAAATAAATTACACAAATATTCTGCAGTTTTTGAAATTCTATATAGAGGAAGTATGTACTTCCTTGCCCTCCATCCCCACACCAACAAAAGGTGTCCATGATTGTGGCCTGGTAACAATTTTAAATGGTCACCAAAAATGTAGTTCCAAAAATAAAAATAATAAATACCGCCACTGGAGCTAACAATGTCTCAAGTATAAAAAAAATCTAAGTACCAAGTCATAGTACCCTTTAATAGAATTAAGCTAGTCTCAAAACAAAATTGTTTTATGTAGTGGATATCAATGAAACTATGATAGATGTATGTTTTTTAAATAATTACATATCTCTAGCATTTATTATATATATATATATTGTACATCATACATATTTAGAATAAAAATGATTAATAAAATAATTGTTTTTTAACTTAAAAAAGGTGTAAATTTTTTGGATATTAAATTTGTAAAATATAAATAACTCTAAATAATTAAGACCACTTAACTGCTCAAATGAATCGTCGCAAATTTTTTGTTTGGCTAGCACATGTGTATTGTCAATATATTGACTATGTGTGTGTGATTTATACTTGTACGTTGATTGTCAATTCGATTGCCAACCAATGTGTCATAAAGTTTAAAATAAAGTATCATCAAAACAAGATACAATTTTAACCATACTTAATTAGGATACAACCTACATACTAAATTATATATTATGAACAAAATAGGGAACTGGTTGGTTATTGTCCACCGTAATACAACTTGTAAATATTGTTATATTTTTCAGATTGTATATTATTTATTTTTAATTAATTATTAAAAAAGTAGGACAAGTGGATACTACTCTGCTATACAGTGGTTGTCGAACATGTCGTTGTATACATGTGTTACATTTGAATTTAACAATAAATCATAGCGTACGAAAAGCATTTCTGGAGATGTTGTGTCATCTTAGCATACTTGTATAAATAATCAAATATAATAGTTTAAAAAAAAATTAGTAAAAATTGAAAATATTTC